CCGGCAGTTGTAACTGGAGCCGACTGAAAGTCAATACATCAATAGCAGTGTTAGTCATACATAAAGCCCAGACTACAGAAAGTGTAGCAGTGAATACAAAGTATGTTGCATACGACGGGTGTTGCTTGTCGCCTAGGGGGCAACAGCATAGCTTGTAGTTCCTTGGTCTTTTCTTTACTATGAATATGAAAACAATCACAGTTTGCCCAGTACTTGCACCTTTAACTTCCAGTGGCTCAAGATGATGAACTGCATGCTTGAATACCTTCCCAGCTTAAACTTCTACTATCCGAACAACACCATCCTTACCTGGATAGGTCATAAGCATACGTCCAAGTGGCCACTGTGCAATTGCTGTGTGCTCATCCATCACAAGCACGATGTCTCCTTTCTTAGCGTTACACTGTTGTAGCAACCACATCACCTGGATGCCCAGCTTGGAAACAATCTCTTTCAGCTAACGTTTCCATACCTGATCTACGATACGTTGCACAAACTCCCAGCACTTCCTCGGGTGAACTTGAGTAATTGTAGATGTGTTGGCTTCAGCAGCAATAGTTGCCCTAGCATGGCCAGTGAGAAAGTGTTGTGGCAATAGCAGCTGAAGGTCTTCTTGCAGCAGTCGTTTCATTGCCTTGGCCCTTACCTAGAACACACCACCAAAGTGTGGTACACTTGGTGGCTTGAAGTACCAGGTAATGTCGCAGTATGACCTTTCTGCTGCTAGTCTGGAGTAGTTGAGAAACTTGACAGCTGCTTTTACCTCTTGATCAGCAACAAGAAAATTGGTACCGTTGTCCGATTGCATCTCTTGTGGCACACGACGTCGCATGGTGAATTGGGGTCTAAGAGCCAGGTGAAAACCGTCGTTGTCCAGAGATAACCTCGAAATGACAAGCTCTAGTCAGCAGCATGTAAACACACATACATATCTCTTTGAGTTGTGACCGATCTCGACCCTGGCGTGCATAGAACGGGACGACATAGCCGGCACCAACTATGGCAGATGACTGTTGTGGTCCAGTTGTCTTGAAGTCAAGAAGTCGTGGCATTGCTGGTGTTGCTGTTTTGATATGGCCCTTGCGGCAAAGAACGCACTTGGCCCGATGCCTCCAGGTGGCCTGCATCACTGGAGAGAAGCCACTCACCCGGCACAAGCCTCCACGAGTGCTGTGTGCTCCTCATCGTGAAGTGATACCTTTCCCAGTGTACGTCAACAGGCGTGTTGATGTGTTCGACGACAAAGTGCAGTGGATCCATGCTTTGAGGGGGGCTGGATCACTGGAGAGAAGCCAATCTTATCATCTTGCGAGAGCAGTAGCGAGTGCGTGAGCAGTTCAGCTCCTTCTCTGCATGATCAAGTTGCTACAGACCTTGCAAGCTGATTCCATACACCACTGCCACAGGTTATGTCTGTCAGCTAGCTACAGCAACAATATCCTCTTCATGAATGTTTAAAAAATTAATATTTTCTCGGGTCAAAATCAGCTCCCGAATGTCTACAAGTACAATACAGCATGATCGCATGTGCATGGACAGGATCCGACTGTGATGCAGCTCTCCTGGAAGGAAGCAAAGTTCTTCTGTCGCCAATGCCATCGCTTGCCAGTGTCACTCCAGAAAAAATAAATTTCAATTTCAGCAGCTACGAATTCAATGCATACCACTTCGCCTCCACCAAGACTACAGGGCATCTGATTTGACAAGGCATATCAGTAGGACTTGGAGAAGTCACAGTAACAGTTTGCAAGATCACTAGCAACAAGTGTCAAAACAAACATAGATATTTAGAAAACCATACCGTCTCCTCTCCTAACATGTCGAAAACAACAATTACATTTCCGAAAATGGACGATGAACATGAAAGCTCCTCCGCGTAAAAGGCGATTATAAACGTAAACGTCAAACTACAACATCGATGCCACCTCGATCGTTCGATCCGAGATTCGCCTGCCCATCCTAGGATGGGCATTGGCCACCCTGCCCATCTTAGGATGGGCAGAATCGACGGACGGGCCGGAACACACATACTACTTCCGTCACTAGGTCCCAAATCTCTTTTTCTCTGGCCTTGCCTTCTGCCCACACTAAAGCTGGTTTTTCTCGTCTTGGCTACATAGGTTCTGATCGGTGGAATATGCTGCCTTCCACTGTTCGCTCTTGTACAGATTATCGCCCATTTGTTCGTTCATGCTTAACCTTTCTAGGGGCTCCCGTAAGAAGACCATAGGTCTGTGGGAAACACCCTAGTAAAATAAATAAAATAATAATAATAATAATAATTAAACGGCCCCTCACTATTATTATTATTATTATTATTATTATTATTATTATTATTATTATCGCTGGCTACAAGCGAGGGTCCCTGGTTCGATTCCTGGTGGTGACAGTCAATTTTTTCTTCAGACTTTTCCCGTTTGTCTCTTTCCCTCAAGCCAGTTAATATGTTATGACTTGGGGCTCCCCGCGTGCTAGTTTGTACGTGAAGTGTGTGGGTTACAGTGAGGGCTGCGTCCCACCCGCCTGTGTGGATTCACAGGAAGTGTGAGTTACGAAGTCTGAAGAAAATGTTGAACGGCCTCTGCTGAGATGACGACTACACCATAGCTCAGTGGTTAGAGCATCGCTGGCTACAAGCGAGGGTCCCTGGTTCGATTCCTGGTGGTGACAGTCAATTTTTTCTTCAGACTTTTCCCGTTTGTCTCTTTCCCTCAAGCCAGTTAATATTATTATTATTATTATTATTATTATTTTATTTATTTTACTAGGGTGTTTCCCACAGACCTATGGTCTTCTTACGGCTAAAAAAGACGTCATTTTACAACAAGCCAAATCACCTCGTACCAAGAGTACATAACTACAAAAAAAAATGTACACAGTAGTTATGTACTAGACTCTTGCTCGTACTTGTAGATCTACCACTCTTGCTTGTAGAGGGGACGGTTTCAAATAGTTTCAAATAGGACACAGGTTGCAAACCGGAATGGACTCGATATTTTTTTTTCCGCACCGTATTATCCTTATTTGCATGCGTACTACAGCTGTGTACAACTAGATTAATTTTCCATGATAAATAAATACAGTATACTACGAGGTGATTTGGCTTTTTTTAACATTTGCCATTTTTTAACAAATGTGTAAAATTTGCTTTTCTTCTGGCTGTTTCTCTGCTCCGGATGGCTGTATCGAAACATGGGTGGTGGCAAATGAGAGCCAGTTTATCGTAGATCAACATTGACCAGAAAATTTGGTGCATATAATTTAATTCTCCCTGCTACGTCGGTATAACTAGTGGTGGGTGCTTTGCCATTTTGTGTAAAATGTGTAAAATGAGCCCCTGAATGGACGAGGAGGGCAGTGAATTGCTTCCGCAGGGCCTTTGGACGACTTCAGGCCGTCTTGCCATCACTAAAGACAGTAATGAAGAACAGTAGGTCACGGAATACACTCTGTGAGAACGAAAACTTGGCTGCTATGCTATGCTACCTATCCAATTCCACCGTATAACACAGCCACTAGTTACAAATACAAAAACACGGCTTTCGCAGCATACAATGCAGTTCACTCCTCTGTTGACAGATTAATTTTCATCCACTAGCAATCCTTGAAGTGATATCTATCAACTTCAGAACATTGATGACCGAATATCCCAGTTTGTGATGCCATTAATTAACAAATTTGTTAAAAAATGACACACCAATTATTTGAATCCTGAGAATACTATGAAAGTAGGATATGATTCAAGACACTTTCCAAAGTGGGATCATTCCCATTTTTTGGACACAACGGGCATGAAGGATAGCACTTCCACTTGCAACAATTCATTTGGACGTAGCTTGTCTAGAAGTGACTGAAAAAACGTCATTTTACAACCATGTTAAAAAAAGCCAAATCACCTCGTAGTAATCAATCAGTAAAATCCAGGGAGTAGTAAAATACTACTCCCTGGTAAAATCCAAAGAAACCGCTAAATGGACTCGATATTCACTTTCTCTCTTGGTATTTTGCAGGGAGTCGTATTTTACGACTCCCTGGTATTTTGATTAGAAAACATATGTCACAGTGAGACTACGATGTGTTATACACATGTACTCCGAGCCAAAATTGCATGGCTCTGCGATGACCAGAAGCGCCATACCAAGCAGGTGAGTTTTTGACGTGTTGCTTCGCACTGCGACTTGAGTTTTACGACTTTCGAAAATCAACTTCTTGTCGCAGGTAAACAGCGGCTCGCCTCTCGCCAATAAAACTAATGGAAGCACACACAAGTCTTATTGTTATTCTGTACTGGCCGTCGTGGAGCGATAGCAATTACCTAATTTCAGACCCAGAGTGAATTTGACGTGCACTCTAAAACGTGTCCGGTTTGGAGCCACCTCTGATTTGAACTTTTTTGAAGCGAAAAATTGGGCAACTTGGAGGCAATGGGTCAACACAAAGGAGTGGCTCAGTTCGATTGACTCTGGCCCCAGAGCAAACTTCAACATGCCAGTTTCCTTCCACAAACATATTTCGAGTGAAAAATCAACGCTGATGATCGGTTTGGGTCTATACAAATTTGGCTGTCAAAGCGTCCCGGTATCGAGCCGTCCCCTCTACGAGTAGATCTACATTGTTGTGTGTCGACTACATACCCTCACATGGTACAGAAACTTGTACTCTTGTACTCTTGTACTCTTGTACACCTAGGCACACAGCGGCCCAGCGGACCTCCCTTCAACTTTTTCAAGCTACATGTACGAGTACATGCTCTGTATACATGTACTGCATGTCTTTCGCGCCAGCGTACACAGTGGACTGAGTGGCACATGTAGGCTCTACGTATGGACGTAACTCGTTAGTACTCGTACCATAGTATCTAGTAGAGTGCAGGTGTAGGTGTAGATTCTGTGTTGCTGCATATGCGCGCATGGACGTCAGCAGGAGTGCAAACCGTGAACAAGAAACAGTGATGCGAGAAGCACTCAACTGACTGCATGCACTCTTCTCTCCCGGCTTTTTTTGTTGTTTCGTAGTGGAAGAGCGGGCAGTTCCCCAAATTCACACCTGTGTGTCACAGTTTTATTGTGTGTCAATGGAGCCGTAAGATCGTAAAGCACAGAATGTCCATTTGAGTGGTTTAGGGCTGAAGCAACTGTGCGGAATAAACTAGGGCTGCACCGTATTTGGAACGACTCCTGTGAAGACTAGCTGCAAAAGTGCTCCGGAGTCGGGTGGCCGTATTTAGTGATTTTGTCTCTAGTGTGTGTTAGCAACTCGACGAAGTCGCATGGTTCGCCGGTGGCCGATCTTAGTGTTCGAAATCAGTCGGAGCGGAGGCGGAGTACGTTTGCGGACGGCAAAGTGGAGAAGGTAAAGGAATACGTTCCAAGTTCACTTTTGGAAATTTGGCTGCGTTGAAAAGGGAAGGCAATGCAAAGCCTGAAAATACCTTCCGATTCCATATAGAGTCATGGCATGCGTGAGCTATGGTCAACATGGAGGTTACAATCTTATGCGAGCTGGGTTATGATGCCCAAACCCGTGACCCCACGGAGACTGCCTCGGCTCCGAAGAAGAAGAAAAAGAAGAACGAAACACACTTCAAACGGTAGTTTTATTCCCGTAGCTATGCAGAAGACGTTACTTCAGTAACGTCTGGCGCTAGCCAGGGTCCACACAGCTTCAATTTGGTATTTGTGTGTTTGTTTGTTTGTTTGTGTCACGCCTGGCGCTATCCGTATCTGACGGCAAAAAAAGCATAGGGATGTTATAAATTTTTCAATTCTCCTATTTTTCAGGCATATGCTGGGATTCGAACCCGCACTATCGCCCTACATGCATTCCCCCATACACTTCGCATTCATACCCATTCTTCCAAGTTGCTTCACGTTATGATCTTGCGTTTAAAAGCCCTATTTGAATATTGCGGGCAGCTGTATGTGGCCAACTGTGTTTGATGGTACGGTACGGTACGGGAGACGGTGTCGTACCTCGATCGTACCTGTCCCGTACCTATTCCCTACCGTGCCGTGCCATCAAAGACGGATGGCCACAATGCATATTCAAATAGAGGTTTCAAATGCAAGATCACAATGTGAAGCAACTTGGAAGAATTAGTATGTATGCGAAGTGTATCGGGGGATGCATGCAGGGCGCGCGATAGTGCGGGTTCGAATCCCAGGTTATGTCTAAAAAAAGGAATTTTTTAAAGAATTTATAACATCCCTATGCTTTTTTTTGTCTAGGTCATCAAGGCAAAAAAGCATAGCGTAGGGCCCTGAGCTTCCAAGCTCTCTCGTTTCAACATTGCCGTCCACAATTGCTGTGCAGCACAATGGCATCAAATGAAGTAAAGCAATTCCGGGTTTCGAATAGTTTTGAAGTACTTCAACGAAGTACACGTACATGTGCTTGCATAAGAGTAAGCAACTGGAAAAATGTGACCCCAAATCCAATTATTAGTTTGAGTAATTTGAGAAGTGAACCTGTGAAGGTGTGCGTGAGCAGAAACATTTGAGTGTCATCACCAGAGCTCGAACCAGGACCACCACTGTGCTATATAAGGCAGTGGTGCTCAACCACTGCTATAACTGTGGTGCAGTCATGTTACCTTGAGTCTGTGGGGACTGCAATATTAAAAATTAATATGAATACAAGTTAATAATAAGAACGAGAGAGCTTGGAAGCTCAGGGCGTACGCTCTGCTTTTTTGCCTTGATGACCTAGACAAAAAAAAGGCATAGAGATGTTATAAATTCTTACAAATTTCTCCTTTTTTTAACCCTCTCAGTGCCACAGGCGACTTTAGTCGCCCAGAATGAGTATGCATCCGTTCAAAATTTGAAGAGGGGCATTGCCCTAGGCGCTGGCGGACAATGCTTGGAAAAGTAGCGTTTTCTGCTCGTATTCTGCCCCAATCTGCTCATATTCTGCCCCAATCTGCTCGTATTCTGCCGGATTCTCACGTGCTTGTGAACACAATGGAGCCGTAAATAGGCGCCAGCAGCCCTCTCCGCACTTCGTAGCTGGTTCTGCAGAGTACCTGCTCCTTCTTCTGCACTTTTCTGCCGAGAGTTCTGCTCATTCTGCTCCTTTTCGAAAATAAACCATATTCTGCTCGAAATTCTGCCGGCATTATCCGCCATGGCCTACAGTGCCCTGTGATGTATGAAGGAAATTAATAGAGGGGTTCTGCACAACGAATTTCGTCTCTGCTGATGACGACAAATGTGAATAAATTTAAGGCGCGAAAATTCAAACGCCGGTAGGTTCTGCAGGACGAAACCTTGCTGCGCAATTTTCGTTGCTTTTTCAATGCTGCTTTTCCACTGATTCTTTTCTGACTTGTGTTTCCGGAGCGAAAGCACTTGTTTGAGTTGTGAAGCAATGTCCGTGGCGTGGGTGTATGAGATGGCGGTGGATATAGGAGATGATTACGAGGAGCTGTTGTGTTGTTTCCTCCTACTGGAATACGATGACGGAGACCTCGAGCAGGATGAATTGTTGTTTCTGGTCACCAGAACTGGCGCTTGCACGACAGGAGTCTGCAGCAGATCCACACCATCATCTTCCATCACCATACATTATTATTATTATACGCTGTCCAAGACCTTCCATAGTAAGCTGAAGCTACCACACTGAACGACGTGCCACGGAGATAGAAACTAAAATCGACTCAGATCAAAGCAAGACTGTACGTAGAAAAGGTATCCGAAGTGAAGCAAAAGGGCAACGGAATTTTTTTAGCTGAACATTCGAGTTTCGCGCCAACTTCGATGAATATTCATCCACTTTTTCGCTGCGCGCTCATGGTGACGAAAAAATGCAACGAAATTCGTTATGCAGAACCTCTCTAATAACATGTTTGAACGGTGTCAGTTTTTTGACCACCAGACACGTCCGTATATAAGTGCGTACTTTAAATTCTTTCGAATTTAGTGGCCACACGCTATGTATGGTGTCATTCAGCTTTATTCCCGTAGCTATGCAGAAGACGTTACTTCAGTAACGTCTGGCGCTAGCCAGGGTCCACACAGCTTTAATTTGGTGTTTGTTTGTGTGTTTGTTTGTGTCACGCCTGGCGCTATCCGTATCTGACGGCAAAAAAAGCATAGGATGTTATAATTTTTTGAATTCTCCTATTTTTTTTCTGGCATATCCTGGGATTCGAACCCGCACTATCGCCCTACATGCATTCCCCCATACACTTCGCATTCATACCCATTCTTCCAAGTTGCTTCATGTTATTATCTTGCGTTTGAAAGCCCTATTTGAATATTGCGGGCACCTGTATGTGGCCAGCTGTGTTTGATGGTACTGTACGGTACGGGAGACGGTGTCGTATTACCCTCGATAGTACCTGTCCCGTTCCTATCCCCTACCGTACCGTGCCATCAAAGATGGCTGGCCACAATGCATATTCAAATACGGCTTTAAAATGCAAGATCACAATGTGAAACAACTTGGAAGAATTAGTATGTATGCGAAGTGTATCGGGGGATGCATGCAGGGCGGGCGATAGTGCGGGTTCGAATCCCAGGTTATGTCTTTAAAAAAGGATTTTTTTAAAGAATTTATAACATCCCTATGCTTTTTTTTGTCTAGGTCATCAAGGCAAAAAAGCATAGCGTAGGGCCCTGAGCTTCCAAGCTCTCACGTATATGTATGGTGTCATTCAGCTATATGTATGGTGTCATTCAGCTATATGTATGGCGTCATTCAGCTATATATGGTGTCATTCAGCAATATACATGAATGGTGTCATTCAGCTTCTTTTCACAACTACATGTATATGTAGTGCATGATGACACTGCACTGGCAGTACGAAGCCTCAACAGGTTGCAAGCTCAGAGCGAAGGTCAAACTACAGTCCATTGAGAAAAAGATGAGCGCTGGCTCTGGAGAGCTCCCGCATTTGGCAACTTTGTGGTACACTGTGCAGTGCCGCGAGATTCGAAACTTGAAAAGGATCCAAAAAGGTACCTCAACTGGGGTTCGAACCGCAAATGTACTGTTCTGCAAGTGGAATGAACGGCCTGTACTGGATTATCATGGTTTTCCCCCAATTCAGCGCTTCGGGGGCAAAACCTGGCCGAAATTCTTGTTATGGCTTGCTTTTTGGAGAAGTAGACTTCAAAAACACAATTGGAAGAGCATTCCATGGGGGATTGCCAAAAATTGTGACGAAAACTCAAAATTTGACCCGTTAATGGCCAAAAGCTATGATATCATCTTTTTCTGAATGGACTGTAGGCAACTTTTGTATAACTTCAGTCTTGCTTCTCAACTTTTAACCATTGGAATTTCAGCCCTCACCAACGCTGTACAAAGCGTCACTGGCCCGTTTCTCAACGGTCGCGCAAATCGACCAATCAGCGTACAGCTAATGTACCAAAATTCTCAAACTTACCGTAATTCCTTGGTTCATACGGTGTAGTTTCCAGAGATTTTTTATGGGCCAACGTCTTCTTTCGATAGATACCAACAGATCGTCCGCTTCGAATTTTTCGATTTGATTGCCGTTTGGCCGAAAATTACCTCCGAAACCGGCCTCCACTCGTTTCACTTCAAGGCTTTCCAGGTGGACGGCATCGCAATTCGGAAGCGGAGAAAGGATAGCCAGTGAAAAAAGAAAAACAACGACGTATTGGTTGTCGAAATCGACCAAGAAATGAATTCAATAGACCTGTTTCCGTGCTGCGCCCTCGCGGCCCGCGCGAGTGCGAAAGGGATTCTTTCTCGACAAAACAAACAACTACTAGTAGTACGCGCAGTACACTGACATCACTGCACTGGCTGTATATACCTTAGGAATATCCTGTTCATTTCCAAGGCATGATTGTCGCTAGTGGGAGAACTCAGCCACCTGAAGCTTTCATAAAGGAAGAAGTAGTAGGTGAATGAGTTCGCCAGAAAATGGAACGACAAGAAAATAGATACTGTTGCTTTCCGGGGCGCTCATGAGACGACGGCAAGATAGGACTGAAACGATCGACAGTCTGCCTCGACGCAAAAGAAACTCTTCTAGGAGGAGCTCGACGTGCTGTAGAGTTTGCAGTATTCTGCTGGAAGAAGACAAGAGAACTAAACTCAGACTACAGCGTGGAGCTGAAGCACGAGCGAAGCAAAAGCTGAAGCAAAAGCTGAGCGAGTTCGAAGAAATGGGGAAACACAGGAAAATGAGTGGGCGACATGATCTTTAGCTCGCGAGCTCGAAGCTCGCGCTGAGACACGCGGTGGGCACGTGCGCCTACGGGTAGCGCGGCCAGCCACCATGTTTTCAAAATGGAGGTCGACGCTTTTGAAATCCGTGTAGACGATGGTGAGGGCTGAATTTGTTAACGTTTTGCATGTGTATCAATACCATCAAGACAAAGTTGCCAAGAATTCTGATGTGCGGCTTATACACAGGATCCCAACAAAAATACGAATTTTATACCCGAAAGGGGGGGGGGGGGTGCGGCTTGGACCTTGTGAAATTAACACACCAGAAAATACGGTAAATTAATAATCAAACTACAGGAAAATACTGTGTTGTTAGCGACGATTTTGCTGTTTGTTTGTCCAACCAGATGCATCCAACCATGGCGTCTTGTCGCGTACTAATGCTCTCTGTGGCGCTGGCATTGGTATTGGTACCAGCTCCCGCATACAGCTTGGAGACCGCTCCCGCATACAGCTTGGAGACCGTTATTGAATATAGTGAGTTAAGACTGAGGTGTATATTCCTGTATGTGTGTGTGGGGGGAGGGGGGGGGGAGTGTCATGTGGCACGGGTGTGTGTGAATGTGTATATATTATGTGTGTGTGTGTGTGTGTGTGTGCGTGCGCGTGTGTGTGTGTGTGTGTGTGTGTGTGTGTGTGTGTGTGTGTGTTGTGAAAAATAGGGATTCGCTGGCCAGAAAAAGTCACTTCAATCAGCTGTGTGGTGGATACCAGGCTAAAATTAGTGGTGGTCTATTCATCAGCCTTGCAAGCTGTTGAATGGTGTTATCCCAGCAAAAGTTGCTATGTGTAACAAAGCTGTTCACTATCATCGCTTCCACGATGGGCATGTCTTTGTCTGAGTGTGTGTTGTGTGTTGTGTGTGTTATATGTCCCATATGGTGCAGTGGTATGTGCAGTCGATTTCCAATTGAGAGGTTGAGGGTTCAATTCCCGACGATTATGGTCACACACGCCTTTCTTCTCTTTCTCATTCTCCTAGCTCTTCTTTCATTCTCCTGGGTGGTTACCAACAGCCAGTGTATGCCGGAGTATGTGGCGTGGTGTGTGTGTGTGTGTAATAAAAAAAGAACGAAAAAATGAAAAATAGGGATTCACTGGCCAGAAAAAAGCCGCCTCAATCAGCTGTGTGGTGGATACCAGGCTAAAATTAGTGACGGTCAATTCATCAGCCTTGCAACCCGTTGAATGGTGTTATCCCAGCCCAAATTGTTATTATTATTATTTGACACAATCTCATAGCATGTGACAAGCATAGCTAATGCAGGGACAGAATTCCCTGAGACAAGGGCGTTGAGCCAGCTATGTCTAACATAGCTGTTCGCTATCATCGCTTCTGCGATGGACAGGTCTGAGGTGTGTGTGTGTGTGTGTGTGTGTGTGTGTGTGTGTGTGTGTGTGTGTGTGTGTGTGTGTGTGTGTGTGTGTGTGTGTGTGTGAATCCCTACTTTTTGGTCTTTTTTGTGTGTGCGGGAAAAAAGACTAAAAAGTAGGGATTCACTGGCCAGAAAAAGCCACTTCATAGCTGTGTGGTATAGACCAGGCTGAATAGTGGCGGTCAATTCTTCAGCCTTGCAAGCTGTTGAATGTGTAGCAAGAAGGACCCATGAGTGTGTGTGATCTCCAGTAGCCTAATCGGTAGGGCACTGTCCCGGAAAGACGGGTGCTGGGTTCGAATCCCGCTCCCAGCACAAGTTGGTATGGCTTCTGCTGTAGCATAGCTATCATCGCCTCCGGCGATGGGCGTCCAATGGTGTGTATGTGTGTGTGTGTGTGTATGTGCATGTATGTGTTGGCGGAAATTAAGGAAACTTCTTCATTTGTTATCGTAATACATCATTAATTTTATGACCTGGAGTACTCGCCAGAGCGACATGGCAGGGTGCTGCACCTTCCTTTTTGACCGCTCCCCTATCAAAATGAATGCACCCCCTCAGAGTGCGAGCACCACCGTCTTATATGCATGATGACTCTGATGAGTACGCATCATGTAGTACTACAGCATTATAACTAATTTACCGTATTTCCGCGCATATAAAGCCATGGCGTTATATCCAAATATAAGGCCACCCTCACTTATAAAGCCATGGTGTTATAAGTGAACAAAATTCAATGTGGAGGAAGTTGCATCTGGCGTTAAAGGTGAGTTCAATTCTTTCAGTGAACCTACAGTAGCGGTGATTCTCTCTGCATGTACCCATCCCCACTGTCACATGCCATACCGCCACCGCACCTTCACACAAGTTTGTATGCCACCTTGTACAGAATAGGCTCACAATTTGAATTTTTCAGGGAAAATTGAAAATACATGGATGCTCGACATGAACGTGCAACGGCACCATACGAGTACTCGAAGTTCATACTCTGCTGATTTTTTGCATGTACGCGTCTCTCACTTTTAGCGCCATGGCGTTAAAACCGAGGCCATTTTCTCCAAAAATTTGGTCCAAAACAGGGCTGTTTTACCTATAACGCCATGGCTTTATATGCACGGAAATACGGTATACGGTATGAGTTCTTTTTATACAATCGACGTGTCGGGTGTTCTTATGCCTGCCTTGGAAAGGCTCTGAATCAACAAAAGTCAGTCGTGCAGTGAAATCGATTGTGCAAAAGACATACTATGCAGTGAATGTAGTTACTGTCTTTACAACGGTGCGTTCGTTCACAGTGTTGAAGGACGTCCTGCCAACCCACCATTTGAGCCATCTCATTTATCAATTTGAATGCCGACAATGTGGTAGTCGGTATGTTGGCAGGACGCTTCAACACTTGTCCGAACGCATCAAGCAGCACGTCCCATTATCATTGTTGTCCCAGGCTGCCAGGTTAAGCAGGCCGAAGCGTGGGAGACCACGAAAACATCCGCTGCCTATTTCTACACCTAGCACGGCTCACAATTCGGAAACAGAAACACCGACTACTTCCATGGAGAACGAGCAGACTAATCTGGCTCCCCCCTCGGAAACCGGACAACGGCAAGGGAGGCCGCCGGACGGTCGCTCCTCGACAAACCATGTTGCTACAACGGTAAGAGCGGAAGGGGAACAACTTGAAAACAGAGCAGAACCGAGGAGAAGCAAGAGACTAGCAGAGGCACGACTGAGACAAGTGGAGAACACAAGGCAAGGAGACGCAGGAGGAAGCACAGGCAGGGCACAGAACGAATCAAGGAGAGGGAAGCGGTGTCGCGAGGAGATGGAGACAGATGACGACGAATACGAGTGCGATGGGATGGACGGCGGCATTGGAATGGAGGTGGAGGATGAGAGTAGTGATGAGGAGGAGTTTGATGTTGACAAGAGGAAGTCTGCAGTGTACAAGCATTTGGTGTCCAGTCCAGAATGTCGTATGGTGTTTGACGATTCCTGGTTTAGTGTTATTCGTTGCGCACGTTTCTTCAAGCAATTGCAGGTGTTGGAAGCTGTGTATATTCGTACTCGTGACCCTGTGCTATGTAAACAGAAAGAAAACCGTTGTATCACTCACACTCTTCAAGTAATACACACGCACCATTACATTCATTCACACAGTATCACATTCATCTGCCACTACCTTTCTCACATACACTATATTCACACATTGCAAAGGTGCAAACTTCGCTTTTTGTACTTGTTAGCTGCTGTATTTCTACCTGAAACTATATTAGCTACATGTATATAAGTGTGTGTTTTAGTTATTACATTTTTATGTGACGGCGTTCCACTGATGACAGTCACAAGAAAACGTTATGGAACTTGACTTTCTTCATTTTTGCTGTTGTTATGAGTGCACAATTTATCTTATTTATTGCCATTTTAGTTCTTTTTAATTTTTAATTAAACGGTAGCTCAAACCACTTTGGAGGGGAAAGAAACTTTTACAGAAGAAGTGCTGTTTTCTCTGTTCTAAGTTGTTCTCTAGCATGCATGGACTGCGGAAATGATATTCCTTCAAAATGCATACCGTATTATCTCTAATATAAGCACAGTCTCCAATAATAGCACGTCTCCAATAATAGAACACCTTGGGGCGGCATTCAAAAAATAAAGTGCCCAGTCTCCATTATAAGCACACTGTGTAAATTCATTATCTGTACCGGCGAAAAAAAACCCTGAACTGTGTGCATCATACATGAATTTGGCATGGCAACATGCGAAGCATACATGAAGTAGAAGTTGGTCGGCTGCTTACTGGTGTAGGTGAAAATATCATGATCATGGGGTGGTCGTGTCCCATGGAAGCAGAAAGGTGGTTCTTGACCAGGGAGTTGTACGACTCCTTGTTCTTGACCTGCCCGGTACGCAAACCCATCGGATTTTTTTTGCATCACAAAATGGCGGTAAAATCACAAATCTTTGCGCACTGTAATCCCCATTACTTTTGTTCTGGCTATAGTCTGTCCCTCCAGGAAATCGCGATTCCACGGATGCAACAAATTTCGTGATTTTGACCCAACCCGCGATTTTCAGCAAAATCCGCTATTTTCCGGCGTTTTTTTGTTTTCTGCACTATATCTCACTTTTTTATGCAGTTTTCACACAGTGCTTTTCATGACCCTGTGGGTTAATTGCACAGTATGACTCGTGCTACTCCTGAGCAGATATACTGCTCAAAATAACGATTCTAACGATGCAGCAAATTTCGTGATTTGTTTGGCCCAGATCCGCAATTTTCTGCAAATAATTCCGCAAATTCCTGGCAAGTTCCGCATCTTTCCACACTTTTCGCCACAGTTTTTGTTGTTTCTGCCGCAGCTTCTTGCGCAAGGTTTCGAAGAATTTTTCCGCAAATCAGTAAAATCCTCAGTAACCTTAACCCGTTTCCCAGGCGTTTGTGTAATACCGGTACTACACGCAACCGTGGACGGGCAATTTCAAAAATTCCAAAATTTTCACAAGCAATGGAATGGAACGTATGCATCGATTTCCCACCATTAGGTTTTGCGGGGGCAAGTCCACTACAATCGTTCACACCTTGATACCAACTCTGCATAAAAGGTCATGAACGTTGTGAGGTCATACTCATAAAATGTACTACAGGTGGAATGGACTCGGATGGAGAGCCAAGGATTAATTTGTACTTCGAAGTACAAAAGAAAAATGGACCAAGGAACTACAAGTTACGCTATAATGTCCACTAACACCACCAGTTGCCAGTTAGTGGACATTATAGCGTAACTTTTAGTTCCTTGGTCCATTTTTCTTTTCTACAGGTGGACTCCTGATAATTCGAACCTCGAAATGCCAGGAACAAATTCCTAATTAGGCCATGGTAAAATTTATATTTGATTCTCAAGTCAGCGCACCGATTTTTGGCGGCGCACGGACGCTTTTTTAAAACTTCTATGCATGCATGCATATGTGCGCATTGGCCGGCCGGCCATGCATGATGTACAAATCAGGGAGTAGCACAATACTACTGCCTGGTACAAATACAGCTGCACTGTACAGTCCTGGCGTGCTGTGTGTACTAGTACACACTGCACTGTTTGTACA